CACGGGATGAGGCAGCTGGATCACAAGCAGCAGAGCCTGATCCTGCAGATCCTGCCGATGCAGGGAAAGAGTCTCGGAAGCAGAAAGAGATGCGTGGGTACCTGGTGGTCCCTTTTCTATGGGGGAGAGGTGATCCTCGGTCTCGCATCCATCCTCTCGCAGCCCCATGAGCTGCACCTCTGGTCTCCGTTGCTGCAGTGACCGTCTCCATGGAGACCAGTCCAGCAGAGCCGCATCACAGAGGGGGAGGCTGTGGGGAAGCATCCCCATCCCCTCCCCACGAGGACATGATAGCTCCCAGGGTGTGATGTTGGCCCCCAGGGAAGCGTGAAAATTAAAATCCCTCAAGTGGCAGATGTGTGGAGGAATCCCAAGAAAACTAATTGTTTCCCAACCCCCCCACCCCCCTTTAATGCTTGTTGGCTTTCACTTTGCATTGGTAATTGCTGCTCTGCACCAATTAAAAGGCCGTCTCATGCTTCGCGCCAGCTTGATTGCGAATTAATTTTGCATATGTACCTATTCTGGGGAGCACAGGAATTTATTCAGCTCAGGATGCTGAATACCAGACAGGCTTTCCAGAGGTGTGAGGTGCAGCGTGAGCTGTGGCCGCTATCAAGTGTAACTTTGAGGGAACAAGGGTGGCTTCTTCAAATAAATGCCTAAAAACATGGGTTCAGATACGGTATTTGTTCTCATAACACATTTGGGACAAGGCAGATGGATTTCAAATGGGATGTACAGAAGCACCCATGAGCTTAGATACCGAGGTGCCTTTGATTTGCACTGAGAAATAGGTGTCCTACCTGCTTGTGGTCTCCTGGAGGTCCCGCTAGGCATCTACCTTCACGTCTGTGCCTGTATCTGCCTCACTAAAACTACCCGTAGGGTTTTTGTAAATGCCAGATTTCTTCAGAGGGATGCTATCAGGTTGGGATTTCTGTGTTTTTGAAAGCAGATTTCCTCTTTCTATTACTGATAAGTATCAAAGGGGAAGAGCTGTTGGGATTTTCCATTTGCCTTTCACTCGTCACGCTGCTTTGTTTCCTCTTTGCTTTTCTATCAGCCTCGCTCAGTGAAAATAAACCAGTTGGTTTTGTGTCTTTTCTCTCAAGTACAACATTCTTGTGCAGGATGCAGTGATATTTGGGCTTGCAGACAATATGTGGAGTTGCAATTTCCTTTAAAAAACAAACTCACCATTGTTATTTTTGTGACATTTCTTGAATTTGATGGAAGTCTTTGATGCTTGACTGCATCAAACGTTGGAGTCAGCCTTCCTGAGGTGGGCCTTTGTCCTCATGAATCACTTGGTGTAAGGAATGTGGTGAGAGAGGTTGGTCACCGGCTCTTGGAGCATTCAGAATGTTTACTCCGTTGCAGCTGTGCTGGGTACTGAGATCCTCCTATGCATGAGTTTGTCACTGAAACCTGCATCCACCTAGGCAGAGGTTTAATCATGGCCCAACACGATGCGCTTGTGGGGTAGTGGAGGCTGTTCAGACCTTAAGGAATGGACTCACATCCCAGCACAGCAGTTGGTTGCTCCCTGAGGCAGCAGTAAAGCAGTTGGGAGCTGGATGTATCCAGTGTAGGGATTGCAATTTATTTGCCCTGCAGTTGCTCTGTTTCTGCCAAGACTGTTACTGGAAAACTGTTTTTCCAGTAATGGTTGCTAAGCAGTCAGGTCTCATGATGGGCTTTATCTGCTCAGCTGGATCTGCAGGAAACAATAAAGCTCCAGTGCAAAACAAAATAGGGAACATCAGTGACTGTGCTGGGGCTTCCCTGTCTGCCAGAAGTGGCCACTGGGGTAAGGTGATAAGGGAGGGAGATTTCTTCTCCACCCCTTGCAGGGCTTCCCTGCTTCTTGGGCTGGAAGGCGCTGCTGTTGGGCTCCAGCAGTGAGTTAGTCCTGTGCTTGTGGGGATGGCTTTTCTGTTAGTGGTGCAGCGGCACATTTAAGGTGCTCGGCTGCTGTTGCCAGAGGATCTGGGATTGTAGCATGATTTTCACTCGTGCCGGCTAGACTAGAGGAGGAGTAGGATGAGGCTGTCGCTCAAAAATCTGCGTAGGATAGTCCTATCTGGACTGGTTTGATGCTGGGGGAATATTTGCCTTGTACTTCTGCTGAAGATCTCCCAATGGGGAATTGTTCAAAACTTTGCAGATTTCTGTTGAAGGACCGTTATGTTCCCCAGTGACTTAGGCAGGTGTCTGGGGAGACTGGTGGGTGGACACGCACAGGCTGGTGCCTGGTGAGAAGGGGAAGGTTTCACACTGTCTCTGGGGTTTTGCAAATGCCCACAACATCTGGCTGGTTACCTTTGGCCAAAGTCTTCCACTCACAGCAGGTTCCATATCCTGTCAGCCCCCATCCACTGCGTCCTGTTGCTGTTTGAGATGGTTCTCTAGAGCAGTTGTTCTTTCATCCAACCTATTCTGCTGCTCTGCCTGGCATCTCTCCTGAGACCCCACACTTGTGGTTTTGCTTTCCTTTGCAGTCTGCCTGTGAGGTTTGTGACTTCAGAAGGGTTATCCCTTTGGCATCTTTACAGTTAGCTGGTGGGAGGTTGTTGGGCTCTGGGGACCAGCAGAGCAGACTGAGGCCCTGCCAGAAGTGTGTGCTCTGGGGTAGCAACCTCTGCCCTCTACCCCTTGCTGTTACCGTGAGGTCTGGGGGAGACCTGCAGGCCCAGGCACCAGCAGATGATGGGACTCCTCCACCTCCACACCACTTTTGCAGACACTCCTGTTCCCATGGGAAACATTAGCTGCTGAACAGGATGATGAGTGGATTCCTGGGGATGGTAGCTGTTGGAGATTCTGGCACTTGAGTGTGAAATCTCTGTCCTTCTCAGGATGTTGGTGCAGCCTCTTAGTCCTGTTGGAAGGTACAAGCCCAGTTCGTTACTGGAAACTTGTTATTGGAAAGCCATGCTCTCCCTGTTGTTGCAGGGAGGTGAGTAACCTGAGCTGGGGCTGAAGCACAGGTTTGAATCACCTTTCCTGGAACCAGAGCTGTGGGTACTGCCTCTGCTGGGAGCACGTTTCGTTACTGGTGACGGCAGTGTGAAACGTGGGACTGTCCTCCACGGGAGCGAGCACACATTGCATTGAGTCACCAAAACATCATGTACGTAGAGAGGCGGTGACTGGCCATGCCAGGGCGTTTCCTGGGCTGTGGCACTACCTCTCTGCCATGAAAAGAGCCAGACAGTTGCCAAAATGCTGTCAGCCAGAAGCTGGGAGATGGCCCTGGAAATACTGCATTGTCCATGTGCTGTAGCTGTGATTTCCTGTCTCTCCTTCCCCACGAAGCCATTCCCAGGGCTGCTGCAGTGCTGCCCTCTGTGTCCTTGCTGCTGCTCATCTCAGCCATATGGTGGTTGAAAAAAATCTACCTAATTTCCAGTTAAAACTTATTTTATGGCGGGTTTATCCTTATCTGGTCATGTTCCAGGCTTGTCCATTAAATCTCATTCCCACAGCATGTAAGCACTGGTTTTCTCACCCTTGTGTTTCTCCTGGGAGCGATGGGCTAGACTCTACTGTAGTCTCACGTTTGCCCCAGCATGTTGGGAAGGTGCCCAGCTCCGACGGCAAGCAGCACAAGGGGTCCACTGCTTGTGAGAGCCGTCTAGCCCCAGCGTCTCGGCTGGCTCTGGCTCCTGGGTGAATGACTCAGCCCAGCCAGGGAGACCGGGAGGGAGCAGGGCCGGTGCTGGCTGGGTGCTGAGCAGGGCTTGCCAAGCCCAGCTTACCTAACGCCGCAGGAATGCCGGGCTCAGCAGGGCTCCTTGGCTCTGCTCTCAAACCCAGGCGTGCCGCAAGCTGGGCCTGTGGCCTCGGGCAGCGGCTGGGTTTGGGAAAGCTGGGACAGGGCTGCACCATCCCAGATCTTTGCCCTGCATGTGGCAAGGGGCAGCCCCAGAGTGGGACCCACTGCTGCCTGCAGTCATGGGAAACCACCCAAAAATGCTTGCCAAGAGCAGGGTCTGTCCACCCCATTTATGTCGTCTCTGCTGGGCCCAGCAAGAAGGGGGGCTGTAAGGACATCAACTCCTGTTTGTTTGAGGGCAGTGGGGACTTTTTAGTGACTTGACCCCTGCATTTTGCAAGCCCTGGCATTTCATGTGCCCTTCTGTTGGATATTTAACTGGCCCCAGTGACTGCCCCCGCTGGATGTGGCTCGATGAAGCCACCAAATTGCTTCTCTCCTCTACTGCTGCCCTCCCTGGAGAGAGACACCCTCAGTATTTTCCCCCAGGTATTAAGCGTGGTGTCTGCAACTGATGAGGGTGAGAAGATGGCTCATGGCCCTGGCCCCAGGTTTACTCTTGTTTGTGAGAGCAATAACATCTGTGTGATATGTGTATATAGATGATACACGTATTGCTCCACGTTGACTCTCTCATGCTACCGCTACTGTTGGTGCAAATTTTGCAGGAAGATGGTCTTTGTAGCACAAACACCCCATTTTGTGCCACAGTCCCTTTAGCAAAACTCTGTTTTGGAGTCACAGGCTCTCTCTGGTGGAAAAGACAGCCAGTGCCATGCTCACCTGGGTAAAACTTTCCATGCAGAATTGACCTTCAAACGAAACGATCACCAGTGTTCACTGTCTGTTAGTGCCATGCTGCATTTTCTGTGTCACAAGGTTCCCAAGCTTCTCTGTATGTGAATTATTTAAGCCTCACTGTGATCCTTGGAGTACAGGAAGGCACTGAGCTGAAACTGCCTCTGACAATGGAAAGCAGGGATGGAAGAAGAGAAGGAAAGAAAAGGGGAGGCTCCAGCCCAGATCATTCAAGCTCTCTGTCTCACACCCTCTCATCCTTCCAGCTCTTCTTGTTTGCCTGCCACAACAGCCAGGGGGAAATGCTGTAGCTGCTGCAGATACAGTTTGATCATAATCAGAAATCAACAGCAGGCAGGACCTGTTGTGTCTCTGAGACAATGCACGGGGTTTGCGAGTGCCATGCATGTAGATGAGGCTGAAAACCTCACGCCAGTGCGAAGCGGCAGCCGGAGCCAGCACCGAGATTGCCCTGAAAGAAAGGAGAGGCTGGGGGAAGGCAGTGTGCCGTGGCGTGCTTACGAAGGGCTGTTTCACCGACCTCAGGAACATCGCTGGCTACACACACACGCTCATACACAGGCGCACTTGCTCACACACGCGCACACACAGCCTCTTGGTGCAGCTCCTCGCAGCTCTTTGATTTACAAGGAAGGAAATAAGACCTCTTAGAGCAGCAGAAGCAGCAGCTGTTGGCAAGATGTGCTGACAAAATTGAGCAGGGAGAGATCTCCAATCTGCTTCACTGCCTGGGCTGGACCTGCTCCTGGAAGAGGAGCGGCAGAGGAGAGAGAGAAGAATGAGCAGCCCCTCCATCCCCGGAAAGATGGAGGCAAAACCTTTGTTCAACGTGCAGAAGGCTCTGGTGCAGCCTGTGCAGATGTGCATGTTGGATATCCCTCTGAGCGTGCAGGATGATGATGTAAGTAGAAGGCAAGTGAGCCGTCAGCCTGTTTTCAGCTCCAGGGACGGGGTGGGTGTGCAAGGGGCAGAGAGGTGCTGTGACCCCACCCCGACGCTATCCGGGAGTGGTGAACTTCTGGCAAAGTTAAAGATGCCAAGACCTGGCACCGCCTCCAGATGTGACCGTTTCCTCTGAAGTGGTGTATTTTGAGGCAGACCGTGTCTTGCACTTGCCAAATCCAGGGCACCAAAATGAAAGGAGTGGTTTGGGAGGGAGGGGAAGCCTTCCTATATGGAAAAAGACTTGTGTTTTAGCTCAATGGAAAAAAGAGTGTTTGTTGTGTGTGTCATGGCTGTGCCACCCTGGGGTGGCTGATGGGTGTGAAAATCTGGGAGGCAGCAATAATTGGCTGCAGAGCTCAACCCTGTCTCCACACACCTTGGTGGCTGCCCTGACTGGTCTTGCCATCAGTGTGGACATTGATCCTGCCCTCTCACTCTGCTGCCCTGCTGCAGCTGCAACCGAGTGCAGGGTTTGCTCCACGATGCAAAAATTGGTTGCAGGTCTGAGGCAGAGATTTCCTGATGTGCTCAGGTCAGGGCATTCCTGGTGAGGGCTCCTCTTGTCACCTTAACTCTGCCCCTCACGGAAACACCCCACGAATCTGTGCAAGAAGGGACACTGTGATAAAGCTACTAGAGAACCTGAAACAGTGGCAATGCTTTCCAGAGCTGGTGGGTGGTGAGCAGTCAGTGTCCTGCCTGTGTAAGGGATTTGGGTGTGATCCAGTTGCTGTTAAAATTTGAGGCGAAACTTCCTTTGATTTTGGAGCAGGAAAAGCCCGTGTTCTTGCTGTGTGTGTTCAGTGTTTGTACTGTCACTGCAGGAGCCTTAAATCTGGATTTTTCTTGACAGCAAACAATTGATAGGTTAATGTTACCTGCTCTTCTGTGCTATCGGTGTATTTAAAGAGGTGAAATGACAGTACAGAAAGAGCTTACTTCCTTGGGAGGAGGGAGGACTTTCCTGCAGGGTGGTGTGCGGGATCTCATCAGGGGTGGGAAGCCCCAGTTTATCAGCCTGCAAGTGTCTGCAGGGACAGGGGACTTGCCAGGGGCCTCCTATATTTAGAAACACCCCAGGGTTTTGCCAGGATCTACTCTGTTGCTGCACTAATGAGGATACCTGTGATGGCCACTGCAGAGCTGGTGGGGTGTGCCGGGGGTGGGAAACGTGCCCCGAAAGCGCAGGTGCCTCCTGCAGCATGCGTGGGAAGGAGGGAGGGCAGCCGGGTGCTGGGAGGTGGCTGGAGCATGGGATGAAGTGGGTGAACTAGCAGCTGGATGCTTTATTCTCATTTAGCTTGATTGGTTTTTTTTAAGCAGCAGATTTCTCAAGGCTTACGCTACGCGATATCCATTCCTGCTCAGTCGTGCAATCTGGTGCTGGATTTCCCTGCGGCCCCATGGTGCAGCGCGGGGGGATCCTCAGGGTTTGCCCGACACGGGTGGAGGCTTCCCTCCCCGCAGAGGGGGAAGCCTGAGCTGAGACCTGTTCTCACCTGGGCAACGGCCAGGACTGGGCACAGGGGATGCTCTGGCCTGGGTTGCTTGGAAATAACCTCTGCTTGCTAATCTTATTCATTATATTCCTGGTTTTATTGCAGAAAAAGACAAATTATTTTTAAGGGGGTTGTGTACTGTGTTAGAGGGGTGGGGTTTTTTTCAGTTGGTTGGGTTTTTAACAATTCCTACTAATGCTTTGGTGGCTGCTGGGTCACAGACAGTCCCGGGAGCTGTGTCACAGCGAGGTACCAGTCAGTAATCTGGCAGATCGAGGCATCCCCAGCCCTCAGGTCATTGCTGGGGCGTTAGCTCCATTGTGCAGGACAGAAGGGGTTAGCACTTTCCTGTGGGAACTGCCATGAGGTCAGGCTGGGAGCTGGGAACATGGTCTCCAGCATCCCCATTTCCACTTAAATGGAGATTCCGCATGTGTACCATGTGTGTTTCCAGGCCATAATCACATATCCCAGGTCAGGGCTCTGCTGGTGCTTTCATCCCCAGCCCTCTCCTGCATTGGGCAGAGCAGGATGAGACCCCCAGGGGTGAGCATTAGCTGGCAGCACCCATGAGCAAGAGGCACATTAGGGGCTGCTCTGCCTCTCTGTGCTTGTGTACTGCTGTTTTGAGGCTAAGGATTCTCACTCCCTTTTCCATTCCTGAAAAGTGGGGGTGTAGCGGCTCCCATACCCTCATGGAACTGGCACTTCCTTCTGCTGCAAAGCACGGGCTGGTGAGGAAATGCCAGTGGGAAAATCCCGAGCAGCATTTCTGTCTGTGGAGCAATGAGGAAACACCTCTTTCACAGCTGAAAGATTCCCCCCAGCCAGGCAGGGTGTGGTGTCTCACATCTGTCCACGTGCGGGCACCTGCTCATCTCCCCACTGTCACTTCTGCATGGTCATGGTGGAGGGAGCTGTGCTGGCATTTCCTTCTCTATTTTGAGGACTTTCAGGCTCATGACCTGCCTTTCTTCTTGGAGATGACATAAGCAGTTTGGGAAAAGTTTTAAGAGCTGTGTGACACAAGGACCTTACCCAAAAGAAGCTCTACTAAGAGATGAGGATTCCAAAATTCATTCAACCAGGGAACTTGTTAACGAGCGGTCGAACCCTGCCTGCGCTGCAGTGGGCTGGCCCTGGCCCAGTGCTGCCTTCCTGACCCGTTGCAAGTACCGGAGCGCTCAAGCAGGTTTGCAGGAGGCAGGGATGGGAGAGGGTAAAACAAACCACCTTCATGGCAAAGGAGTTGGAGGGTTTCGCAGCACCGCGGGTCTCCGCTGCATCACCCACCTGCCCCAAGCCCTGCTGCCCTTTGCAAAGGCGCTCTGGGGTGACGGGTGCGTTGCCGCAGCCGAGTTGTCACTTTGCAACCCCCCCTGCCCTTTGCAAAAGGAGCATCACGTCCCATCAGCAAGCTCCCCTCTTCCCAAAACAACCTGCAGCCCCTGCGGTGAGCCCTCACTGCCCTTTCCTCCTCAGGGCTGGTACCACTGCCGGAGCAGTGGTGCCATGTGCTGCCACATGCTTGTGTGCCGTGTTCCCAGCGCACTCAGAAACTTTCCTCTAATCAGGAGCCTGTTTGGTTATGTGGCTGAGGAGTTAGATGAGTAGTTTCCACCTTCCCAAGTGGGAGTTGCCGTGCAGACTTCTGCGGCAGCAAAGGGACAGAGCGGCAGAGGGAGAGGTGGAGGAGCCAGGATGAGACCGTGAGGAATGAGGGTGTTACAGGGGGAGGAGGAGGGTGCAGCGGCACTGGAGACCCGGGCAGGAGGCACAAGGCAAAGCTGAAAGTCGCGGGAGCAGAGATGTGCTCTGCTGTGCCCCTGACTCCCATTGGCACCTGCTTTGATGTGGCCACAGGAGCATCTGGTCACCGTTGCATGTGCTCCTGGCATGCCCGAGTTGCTGTCAGGTCTCTACCCTCCCCAGAGGACAGATCCTCCCGCGCATACGAGTCATGGTGGGGAAGAAACCTCAGCAGAGCTCTTGTGCAGGATCCTCTCTGTCAGTCTCCATCACCAGTTGGACTATAGCTGTGGGAAGGCCTGACTTGAAAAATGAGCTTTGCTTGTGCTGCAAATCCATTCACTGAACACACAACTGACCCCTTTCAGGTTGAGTTCCCAGGGGACCAGGTTTTGACTGCTAAAAGGAGTAAGGGAGCCAGACAAAGCCCAGATCAGGACACCCCACAAAGACATGAGCCCCCAGATCAAGCCCGTTCCAGCAGGATGGCAGCTCTGTTGCGTCAACATCTTATACTCCTAATTTTCAGGAAAACTGCTCTGCCCCAACATGGAACAGGGCTCCTTTGGGGATCATTTCACCAGCTCGCAGTAGATTGTTTGAGGTGATGGAGAAACATGGACTGCTCATGCCTGTGTTCAGTGGGTGATCAGCTGGAAAGGGGACATCCCTCCCTGGCTACCCTCAACATGGTGGTGCATGTTGGGCAGAGGAGGCTCTTGCTTCTGTCTCCCTTGCTAGCTCTTGATGGGGCTGTCAGTCCTTCCCTTTCATAATTCAGCCACAGCAGTTGCAAAATTTCCCAGGTTGCTTCTCTTGCTATTATGAGTTAGGGATTTCTAAACCTTTGCTAATAAAAGAGCAACAGTTTCTATATCTGGGAAATGGGGAAATCAATGAACGGACTGTTGCAAGTGATATAACGGCTTTTTGTGGCATCTCAGGCAGTTCCCTAATATGATGGAGCGTTATGGCACACTGTTTTGTCAACTTAATTGGCAATATCCGCTCCCTGGCAGTGGGAGCCCGCAGGGCTGGGAGGGACCAGTAAGCTGATGTCCCACAGTGGTGGGTGCTGCTGCCCATCTCGCACGGTCCCAGCGCATCCCTCCTGCCTGGTGAGTTAGTTTGCTCACGGTTGGGCATCCCAGGCTAATGCCATGGCACTGACCCAGCCCTGTGTCATGGGGAAAATCACTCGGAAATACTCCTTTGTTGCAATGTCCAGTAAATGGCAAGTCAGAGGGGAGTGCAGTGCAGCGCAGCCTTTGGTCTCTTCCAGCACAACTGTGTCTGAGTTGGACACTTAACACAGCTTTAGAGAGTGGGAAGAGAAATGGTCAGGTGAAATTCTTGGTGTCCTGCTTAGGCACTTAAATCTTCCGGAGCCTGTCCTGGCGGTCTCCCCGTCTTTGCCTCTTTACTTTCTCCTCTGTGATGTCCTAATAAGTGCAGTAGGTTCGACTTCAAAGTGGTTAGCAAATATTTTCCACTCCAGTGGGCTAATTAGTTAAATTGCATTTCACATGGTAATTTATTCCTCTAATATTATTTTTTTCCCAGCATGCTGGAATACAGGAGAAGATAAAAGCTTGGTTTGACCTTAGAGCCAGGCTCAGAGGAGCTAGAGATGGGAACAAACGATTAATTCCCAGATTTGCTGTAGCACAGGCTTATTCCCTGCCGCATTCGAGATCTCGTTCAGTTG